TAGGGTTTAGGGTTTGGGAGTTTTGGTTTGAGTTTCTTGGCTTAGAAAGGGCTTAGGGTTTGGGGGGTGTTGCTTGATTTTTTTGGTTTAGAGTTTAGGGCTTGGTTGGGTATCAGGTTTAAGGGATACACGCCCAGCACCTCACTGCCTGACCCCAAACCCTAAACCCTCAACCCTAAACCCTAAACCCCAAACCTTAAACCCTAAACCCTAAACCCCAAACCCTAAACCCCAAACCCTTTTTTGTAGCAGGCTTCTCTCGCCCGGAACTGCCGTCGAAAAAACCCTAAACCCCAAACCCCAAACCCCAAACCCTAAACCCTAAACCCTAAACCCTAAACCCTAAACCCTAAACCCTAAACCCTAAACCCTAAACCCTAAACCGAACCATCCTTGGGGCCCCCGGCAATCGTAGATCACCAGCTTCCGGCCCCAAACATCGATGGACTGGCCCACGATCATGTCCTGGTGTCGGAAGGTTTAGGGGTTTAGGGGTTTAGGGGTTTAGGGGTTTGGGGGTTTAGGGGTTTAGGGGTTTAAGGTTTAGGGCGCATCGGGCTTACAACGTTTCACTGGCTGCAAGTAAAAGCCTTCGGGGTTTCCTGTTCGGATGAAGCAAACAAGCCATATCCTCAAGCACTGAAGTCTCAACCCCAAGCCCCAAACCGCCAACACCCTGTGAGGGTCCCTCCCCTAAACCCTAAACCCTAAACCGTAGGGTTGCTGCCCAAGGGGCGTGGGGGAAGTAGATCTGGCCTTCCGCTGCCAACATGCCTCGCACATGCTTTCAGGATCTGACGTTGTGCGCTGGGTGTCCACCCTGGTAACCCCAAAACCCGATACCGTCAACCCCAACCCTAAACCCTTGCGGTCCCAACAGCAACGACATTTTTGAGCTGTAGTGCTTAGCAGTCAGGAGTTGTCGAGTTTCGAGTGATTGGGCGTTTGACAATTTGACCATCGGTTGGACTGCAACTTGTGAGATGTCCATCACAACCAGGGCACCTAGACCCTTTTGCCTAAACCCTCTAAACCCCAAACCCTAAATCACGGGTGCCCGATCACTTCTGTCTT